CCGTCCGTCGAGAGCTGTGTCGGAAGTTGGTGTTTGATAGGAACAAATGATGGTCTGCGGAGAACTGAAGAAGTCGATCGCCGTTATCTATTCGTTGGCAGGGTAGAGCACAACTACCGCCTAAAGTAAGCTTCTGATGCGCTCAGTTTTCCAACCTGCGCGTTTAAGTCACCTGCAAGTACAACTATGCCGGAGCTTCGACTCATCCGAATGAGATCGGTGAGTTCATTGTAGAAAGCGTCCTTTTGGGTATCAGAACTGCAATTGGTCGGTGCGTATGTTGATAGGATAAACAAACACCTTTTAGTGGTGCTTCCCTTCCGGACGCTGATTGAACCCCGGAGACGCACTGCACATAAACGACTGTTGACGGGGATCCAATCGATAAGAGAAGACTCCGCCCTATTAATCAGTACAATACCTACCACGCGTTGACCTACTGAACGAGCTTCATCGTCGCCTGATGTGCAAAGAACGTATCTCGTCGACAAATCTGGCGTGCTCAAGTGGCTTAAAGTAGTAGTATCCTGGATCCGAGTTTCCGACATGCAGCAAATATCGATTCCTAAGGATTCCATTGTACAAGCCAGACAAGCTTGTTGACCTAGCTCCATCAAAGTCCTCACGTTGAGGGCCCCCAGATTCAGTGATTGACGGGGCTTTAGAATCTGCAATCCATTCCGTGGTAAATCACTTACAGTGCTATTGGCAGTGACCTTTGGCGAGTGACATCCAAGTTTCTTGAGGGACTATTACAGGTCGGTAGAAGGGGTAAAGAGAGAGGGTTGGGAACGGAAGACAAAGAGTTAAACAAAGGTTGGGATATCTAAGTATCTGGCTACGCTGGCTATCTATCACCAACAAAGCTTGTCCCACTGTCATTGATTAGTTACCTTCACTGTTGTCTCTGAAATATTGAAATTATGTTGAAATATTGCTGGTCACATGGGAAACTGCACTTTCAGGGGAGCTATTTTGTGTTAATACGATTCGTTAGGTGTGGGAATCCCCTCCTTCGTAAGAATAGCTTGTTTGTTGTGCCAGTCCCCATCTGATTATTTGTCTTGGTAGCCCGAATATCGAAACTCGTTGGAATGAGTCCATGGTAATTGCTTTTATTAAATTTATCATGTACGATCAGATGTTTTACGAAAACCTTACCGTTGGGATCGCCGTGGCAGCTGCTATCCTGAGCTGAGAATAAGGCTGATCAATCGGGGATGTGGAAAAAGGCAGCTGAAGATTTTATTCCTCAAACTGACCACCTATTTTGACAATCACGATAATGATGTTATTTCTTTGCATTCAACCATTTTTCAGTGCTCCTGTTCCGCCGTTCGTGGCTCAAATGCCATATGATCTGTTTGTCGCAGAACCCTCTTTGATGACCAGTCAAGACGACCAGCAACTTACCGATCTTCTTGTACGGTATCATGACACGCTACTTCCGTCTCCATCAGATCTGCAAACCATGACTCATTTGGTCAATCGAGTGGTAACAGTAATCGAAAACCTAATTGTTAATCCCGCGGAATTTACAGCCGGGGTAAGCCTCATTTGGTTACCGGGGGCACTTCTGCACACGGATATTGTTACCTACTTGGATTCTCAGTACGGGAACTAAGTAAATGACTGTTTTTACACTGTCTTCACCCGGATCACATTTTCAGGTCAAACTGAGGCTAAAGATTCTCGAGTTGATTCCTTTAATATTGAGTTCTTCTGTTTATCATTTTTTGAGCATCTAATAAGAGTAGCATCTCTAAAGTGGCAGTCTGTCGTGTTCTGTGGGGCGTATTTCACGTTTTTGTTCTTTATTATGTACCCAGCTTTCATTTGAGGCTCCAAGAAGCTGATACAGGTGCATTAAAACAGGTTGAGAGTAACGGAAGTCTATAAACCTCGGTAGTGCATGCGATGGGAGTTGTTGCGGACAAAATCTACCGCTTGTTTAAACGGCTATGAAGATCTGAGTAATTAACTGATGTGTAGGTCTCTGCATCGCACCCACATCTGTCAAATGGGGTAATGGGAAACCAATAGCAATCATGCATCAACACACTGATGTCTTGAAATCTACAACTGCTAGTGGTGCACCCTCAGAAGATGCCAACTGATTTTGGGGATGTCTTTTGTGCCACGAGACTACATGACTCGGCTTAACCCCTTCAAGAAGCCAACTGTAGTAAGGTAAAATAAATTCCAACCTAGTTCTTTATTTGGTTTCCCTTTTTCGATCAATTTAAGTGTATCTACATTTGGGTAGCGAATAAAGTAGGTTCACGTTGCACAATTTGTATGCGGATATATTTCTCGGTAACTCATCACGTGCATACTACAGATTATATAACATTCATGGTCACACTAAATTGATAAAAATTACCGTTAATAAGTTCCCAACTGTCATGGTTGTTCACCGGGACAGTGGCAAGGTAACAAATAACTCCTTTTGCTTTCACAAAATGGGCCTCCATCTCGGAATCGCAGTTGTTTCAGCAAACTGCAGTAACTGGGATTCGGCGTTGAATAGGATCACGGAGAACGCACTAGTTTGTTTAACCGATGCTTTGTCTAAAGCAAATGACTCGCGATGGAACAGGCTGGTTACTGTCTGGTCGGCGACCTTTGACCTGTTTCCCATTGGTTGACAAAAGTGTCCACCCACCGTGGGACATTTTCGTTCACACTCAGTCGAAGTTTCCGTTCAGTTCGGCCCGGGTACCTACATTGTCGATGTCATACTTCGAGAGATTTATCAGACCAGAGCATTTTCTTATTTTCATTTCTTTGAGTTAATACCACCGAGTTTATACTTTTGGGTGTGTGATCCCATATATGTTTTCATTCTATGATTTGTTTCGTATTTATTGTATATCATCGTCTCTCTTTACCGCCCTTACATTTCTTCCTTTTATCTAGCAAATCGAAGAGGTTAAATGTGTGGGTTCGTTTAAACTTGGTACCTGGCTTTCCAAACACAACACAGCCGACCTGGTGGTCGTTCTACGTACTTTACCCACTGCGGAGGCACTGAAAGGTCTGCAGATCATTTTAAAGAAACGTTTGGATGCGGATGCAAAAAGTCCAAAAGACCAATGTGTTGTGAGCACTCACGCCTACGGGTTCTCTGTGTCCGCGGACGAATTCAGTGTGCGCGCGTTCCTTACTACTAGCCCGATTCATTTGAATAAGGCGGATCCCACTGTACACGGTCAGTTTTTATCCCGACAGGTGAACAATGTACTGTCAAGTCTCGGATGGCGTACAATTAGCGCTGTGTTTTGCGATAAGCCACACAATCTGTTTGGTAATTTTTCAAGTGTAGCCTTTTGTGTGGTCGATAGTTCCGTGGTCACAGGGGCCTAGTGTACATTTATGCGTCTCATTAATTGAACTGTTAAGAGAGCAGACCCACCTGTCATCTAGTTTCGATGGTGTTGGTGGTAACGCGGTTTGAACCTTCCGTAAGAAAACCCTCGGGGCATTTTTGAAAACGACTTGAACTCGTATGCGTGAAAGGCTCTTATTTCCCAATTTATTATTTCGTTTTCATACGCTTTTTTATTCAGAAGTCAAATTGTATGTGTGCGTATGTAGGGGGGGGGGG